ATTTTGTAAGGGAACAAAGGATGTAAAAAATATCATTTTTAATTCACTAAATATTTTCACTCATTCTACGTTATAAATTTTCAGATAATTATGAACACGTCATTAAAAGTAGGTGTTAACCGACGATGGCCATAGTTCAAAAAATGACATGTACCTAAATCGACAACAACGATACAACCAGTTTGCTCTCCATCTCTTCCGGTGTCCATGTTGATTTTAGCATGAGTAATGAATACCACCTTTTTATTTTTCTACAATACATAGATAGGGTTAGAGCACGTCCATTGCACAATACATAGACCTGCATGTGTGACCTTCTAATCTAGACGGAGTTCTAAAAATGTCAGTTTTTCCTCGGCCACAATAGCATTGGAGGGTAATTGTTTAAAACATTGTTCATCTTGCACGTGTGACATTTTCTAGCAATACATTGGAGATGCTTATATAAACTAGTTTGCACACAATCAATTCTTGGACATATGACTCGTTGATAGTAAATCATTTTCTGCTAAAGAAAACAATAAATACAAGTCATATGTTTGTTCAGATCAGTAAAGATAAGGGTTACTTGAACAGCTATATCAACAACGGGAACACTTTCCAATACAAGATTATAAGTTGATTGTGCATCACCAACGTTCTGTCCTTGAATGCTCACAATCAGCCCTTCCAAGCTCGATGAAAAATGTGGGATAATTCAACTGAGCTACAGGTAAACTTGTAAATTCTGATCAATGGCAGTTTATAAAACGCTGCATAGTGACACACATCTGAGTTCAGTGCCATGATGCGGACTTTCCAAATATATATGCCGTTCATCGCAACAGATCACATTTCTTCGTCATTTTCATCTTCTTTGTCTACGTCCCCGTCTCCAAAGTATACATTAAAGTTCAATGTAATCGAGATCCAAAAGCAAAGAGACCAAAAAGCATAGCACTAAGAGAGAGAGAGAGAGAGAGAGAGATTTTGTAGTGAAGACTAGTCAGACGCACGTGCTATCAGCGTAGTTGGCTATTTAATAACGTGGTTGTAAAAGAAAAAATCAAAATAATTCACTTCATAGAAGATGTTTGTCTACCAGCACTGTATGACGTAGGACGATTCTTCTAAAAAATAATGAGTTACTTCAATATCCATTCCGACGTCATAAATTTACCATTTTTAATCGACCTAATAAAGTTAGCCAAATCAGTAAATTAAGAAAGCCTACAACCATAAAAGTCACTGCATAAATTCCAAAAAATTTACCATAATCCCGTGGGTCAAAGCAGTAAACTGGAAGCACAAATAATAAAACATGTTCTCACTTTTGAAACTATTACCATAACATTCCTTAATTACTGAAATATAGTCGCATTAATAATATCAAATCTAAGAAGCATATATCCAGAATATTTATCAATATCACATATCCTCGTATTCTAAATCCTAATAAATCTAATAACATGCTTTCAAATAACAAGCAAAAGTAGGGATGGCAAAAAAAACCGCCCCGCCCCGCCCCGACGGTGCCCCGCCCCGAATGGGGCGAAAAAAACCGCCCCGACGGGGTTGGCGGGGCGGGGCGGGGCGATATGGGGTGCCCCGTCGCGGGGCGGGGCACGGGGCGGGGTGGGGATGCCCCGCCCCGAACCCGGCCCGTGAAAGATTT